GTTTGCTAGTATTTTGTTCAGGATTGTTGCATCTTGTTCATCAGGATCTTGGTCTATAGTTCTCTTTTTTAGTGATGCCTTTATCTGATTTTAGTATCAGGGTAATACTGGCCTCATAGAATGAGTTTGGAGGTTTCCTTTCCATTTCTATTTTTTAGAATACTTTGTGAAGTGTAAGTGCTAATTCTTCTTTAAATGTTTGGTAGAATTTGCCTATAAAGACATGTGGTCTGAGACTTTAGCTTGTTGGGAATTTTTTGATTACTGAGTTAATTTATTTGCTGGGAATTGGTCTGTATGATTTTTTTCTGTTTCAGTTTTGGTAGGTTATATATTTTTAGGAATTTATCCTTTTCTTCTAGGTTGTCTAATTTGTTCTTATATAGTTTTTCATAATATTCTCCTGTAGTGTTTTATTTTCTACAGTTTGGTGGTTATTTCTTCTCTCTCACTTATAATTTTTTTTTATTTATGTCCTTTCTTTTTTTTTCTTTGTATGTCTGGCTAGAGGTTTATCAATTTTGTTGGATTTTTCAAAGAACTATCTCTTCATTTCATTTATCTTTTCATTGTTTTTTAAATTTCTGTATCATTCATTTCTGTTCTAATCTTTATTGTTTTCTTTCTTCTGTTGATTTTATGTTTTGTTTGCTGATCATTTTCTATCTCCTTTAGCTATAATGTTAGGTTGTTTAGTTGAGATATTTCTTACTTCTTGAGGTAAGCCTTTATTGTTATAAACTTCCCTCTTAGTACCACTTTTGCTGCATCCAAATGATTTGAACCACTGTGTTTTCAATTTCATTTGTTTCCATGCACTTTTTCACTTCTTTTATTTCTTGGTTGACCTATTCATTGTTTTGTAGCATCTTATTTAACTTCCATATATTTGTGTTCTTTCCAGTTTTTTTTTGTTTGTTTGTTTGTTTTTTTTGTCGTTGTTGTTGACTTCAACTTTCATACTGTTGTGATCAGAAAAGATGCATGGTAGGACTTCAATCTTTTTAATTCACTGGTACTTGTGCTGTGGCCTAGTATGTCATCTATTCTGCAGAAAGCTCTATGTGCATTTGAAAACAGTGTGAATTCTGCTTTTTTATGATGAAATGTTCTGAATGTATCTGTTAAATCCATCTGTTCCAAATGTATTATACAAACCCATTGTCTCCTTGTGTATTTTTCTTTTAGATTATATATTTATGTAAGTGTTAATGTCCTATACTATTATTTTATTATTAGAAATTACTTCATTTGTTTGTTATTTACCGTTTTATGTATTTAGGTGCTCCCATGTTGCATGCATAAATATTTACTATTGTTATTTCTTATTGTTGTATTGTCTCCTTTATTATTATATAGTGTTCTTCCTTATCTTTTGTTACAGTCTTTGTCCTAAAGTTTGTTTTTTCTGAGGTAAGTATTGATAGTTTCACTTTATTTTGACATACATTTTCATGACAAATATTTCTCCATCTCCTTATTTTCTCTCTTTAGGTGTCCTTAGGTCTAACATAGGTCTTGTATGCAACATATACTTGGGTCTTTTTTTTTTTAATCTATTCTGTCAAGATATGTCTTTTGACTGGAGCATTTAGTCAATTTACATTTAGTGTAATTATTGATGGACATGTATTTATTGTAATTTTAGTACTTACTTTGCAGTTGTTTTTGACTGTTTTCTCTGATCCTTTCTTGTCTTTCCTTTTCATGTTTTGTTGACTTTCTTTAGTGATATATTTGGATTTCATTCTCTTTATTATTTGCATTTTTATTAGTGGTTTTTAATATATGATTACCATGAGTTATTTATATAATCTCTTCTGCATATAGTAGTTTATATTAAGTTGATGTGTTTAAGTTTGAGCCCATTCCTTTCTCCTCTGTTACCCATCCTTGAGGATTGTGTTGTCATATTTTGCATCCTTGTATGTTTGAGATTTTTCACTGATTATTTTATAGAAATATTCATTTTCACTGGTTTTGTGTTTCCTATTTTTTTTAAAGATTTTATTTATTTGACAGTGAGAGATCATAAGTAGGCAGAGAGGCAGACAGAGAGAGAGGGGGAAGCAGGCTCCCCGCTGAGCAGAAAGCCTGATGCGGGGCTCAATCCCAGGACTCTGAGATCATGACCTGAGCTGAAGGCAGAGGCTTAACCCACTAAGCCACCTAGGAGCCCCTGTTTCCTATTTTTATACTGTCATTTTTGGTCTCCCCTTTCCACCCGAGTCCACTTTAATATTTCTTGCAGGGTTGGTTTAGTGGTTACAAACTCCTTTTCCTTTTGTTTGTCTCAGAATTTGCTTATTTCTCCTTCTAATTTGAATGTTAGCCTTCCTGGATAGAGTATTCTTGGCCACAGACTTTTCATATATATCATGCCACTCTCTTCTTGCTTGCAAAGTTTCTGGTGAAATATCTGCTGGTATTCTTATGTCATTTCCAATGTATGTAACTTTCTTCTTTTGTCCATTTTTAATTTTTTTTTTACTATATCTCTGTATTTTGCATTACATTATTAATTATAATATATCTCAGTGTGGATCTGCTTTTGTTATTTTTTGGCAGGGATTATCTATGTCTCATGGATCTGGATATCTCTTTCCTTCACCAGATTAAGAATGTTTTCATCTATTATCTTTTCAAATAAATTTTCTGCCCCTTTTTCTCTCTCTTCTGCTGGTAATATTATATGAATGTTTTTATGTTTGATGGAGTCACTGAGTTCTCTAAGTCTGTTCACGTGTTGCATAATCCTTTTTTTCTTTCTTTCTTTTGGTCTGCTTGATTAATTTCCATTAGTCTGTCTTGTAGGTCATTACTTCCTTTCTCTGCTTCTTTGAGCCTGGTGTTTATTGCAGTAAGCCTGTTTCTAATCTCACTTATTGCACTCTTCATCTGTAATTGATTCTTTTTTATTTCTGTGTTAAGGGTCTCACTAATATCTTCTGGTCTTTTCTCATGTCCAGTGAGTATCTTTAGGATCAATGCTTTATACTCCATCAGGCATGTTACTTATTTCTCTTTCACTTAGATCTTTGGCCATGGCCTTCTCCTGTTCATTCATTTGTGACAAATCCCTCTGTTTTCTCATTTTATCTAAGTCTCTGTGCATTTTTCTCTCTATGTGTGTGTGTGTGTGTGTGTGTGTGCATTAGGAAAGTCAGCTACATCTCCTGTTCTTGAGGGTTATGAAGAAGAGGTCCTGTAGTTCCCTGTCATGTAGTGTCCCCTGTTCTCCAGGGTCTGGAACTTGCAGAAGTGTCTCCAATGTGTGCTGCATGTTTTCTGCTTTTTTGTCCTGGCTGTTTTAGCTTTCAGACCCAGTTGTCTGAAGAAGCTTTCTTTGCCTGTTGTAGGCAATGTTTGGTCCCTGACCTGAATGTGGTGGGTTTTAACAAATGCATTCTGATTTGCTTCTGAAATGAGATCTGTTGCCACCACCACCAGAACTGAGGCTCTGCAAAACTCCAGAGCGGGGAGATGTGGTGTTTTCAGGGGTATAGGCAGGTCTTCTGGGGAAGGAGGCCTTGCCACAGTGGATCTGAGGCAAGGGTGACTGGAAAGCATGGATCCTTTAAAGTATGGCATGGCAGGGCTTAATTTATATTAAGTAAGTTAGGTAATGAGTGTTGGTGATGTGCTGGTTCCTGCAAGTGGTTTTCTGCTTATACTGAAATGCAGGGGAGGGAAATGGCACCTGTCATTCATTTGTTTCTGTAGGGGGTCTCTCCATGAATGCTGCTTCTCAGGGACATTCTCTGAAATGAGCAAATAATCTCCCCACTGTGTGTCCAGCTGCTCTTCAGGTTGCTGTTGCCATGCTATATATCCACAGGCTCTTTGCCCTTCTTTCTCTTCAAGTGTGGCCACTCTGCCTCAGGGGTCTCCCTAAGTCAAGCCCCTTGACCTTTTGAACTCCAGATTTTAAGCCCCACTGGTTGCTAAAAGTCATGAATTTCAGCCCCTCTGGCTTTCTGAGCTGATTCCTATGGGGATTCATTTTCTAAATGCACTCCCCTGTGTGTTAGTCTGTCTCTCAGCCTTCTCTATGACCATAGCTTCCTCCTCACTTCAGAGTCCACGATCTCTTTCTCTCTCATACTGTTTCTCTGTACATTCTACTTAATTCAGTGTGGCCGCTTCTCTCCATTTTGTTGTGGAATTTGTTCTGTCAGTCTTCAGGTCAATTTCTGTGCTATTTAGGATGATTTGATAGTTATCTAGTTGTATTCATGGGTTGAGGTAAGCTTAGGATCCTCTTACTTTGCTGTCATCTTCCTTTTCTCAGAATATCTTTCCATCTATTTATGTCATCTTCAAGTTCTTTCAGCACTGTCATTCATAATTTTCATAATTTACTTTTTCATAATTTACTTCCTTGGTTAAATATATTCTAAATATTTTATTTTTGGTGTAATGTTAAAAGTATTATTTTCATTTCCCTCTGATTTTTTGTAAACAAGAAAAAACACAGATTTCTGCATGTTGATTTTCTATCCTAGGACTTCACTGAATTCATTTATTAGCTTTTTCTTGGGGAAGGGTGGAGTATTTTGGATTTTCTATATAAAGTAGAAAGTATTTGTCATCTGCAAATACTGACAGTTTTACTTCCTTTCTGTTTTGGATGCCTTTTTATTTTTCCTACGTAATTGTTCTGGCTAGGACTTACAAAACTATGTTGAATAAAAGTAGGGAGTGTAAACATTCTTGTCTTTTTCCTGATCTTTGAAGAAAATCATCTTTTCACCACTGAGTATTAGGCTAGCTGTGGTTTATCATATATTGCTTGAATTATATTTAAGAATATTCCTTCCATACTCTTTTTATTTTATCATAAATGAATATTGAATACTGTCAAATTATTTTTATGCATCTGTGGTCATATATGATCTTTTAATCAAGTAATTTTTATTCTTCATCTTGTTAATGTAATGTATCATGTTAATTGCAGATGTTGAACAATTCTTGCATCCTTGGAATAAATCCCACTTGATCATGGTGCATCATCCTTTTAAGGTATTTTTGGATTTGATTTGCTAATAATTTAAGTATTTTTGTAAGTATATTCACCAGGGACATTGACATGTAATTTATTTTCTTTAGGGTGTTTTTGTCAAATTTTGGTTTTACGGTAATGCTGGTATTAAAAGAACTTTGGAAGTGTTTTCTCTTCAAATTTTTGGGGAGATTTTGAGGGTAGATATTAAATATTCTTTCAATGTTTGTTCGAGTTAACCAGTAAATTCATCTGGTCCTGGACTTTTATATGGTGGGAGGTTTCTAATTATTGATTCAATTTCCTAACAAGTAATCTATCTATTCAGAATTTCTAATTCCTCATGATTGAGTCTGGAAAAATTATCTATTTCTAGGAATTTATCTATTTCTTCCATGTTGTCCAAATTGCTGGTGTATATTAGTAGGAGTTTCTTATGATCCTTTGTCCTTCTGTGATGTCTGTTGTAACTTCTTTCATTTCTGGTTTTATTTATTTAACCTATCTTTTTTTCTTGGAGAGTCTAGCTAAGGGTTGATCAGTTTTGTTTATCTTTGAAAAGAAACTGCTCTTAGCTTCATTAATCTTTCCTGTTTTATTTTTAGTCTCTATTTCATTTATTTCCACTTTGATATTATTTCCTTTCTTCTACTGAATTTGAATTTCATCTCTTATTCTGTTTCTAGCTTATTTAGGTATAGAGTTAGATTGTTTATATCAGCTAGTTCTAGTTTCTAGAGGTAGGGTTGAATTTCTAGTTTCTAGAGGTAGGGCTGAATTACTATGACCTTCCCTCTAGCAATACTTTTGCTGAATCTCCTGGATTTTGGTATGTCATAAATCTATTTTTACTTCTTTCTAGGTTTTCTCAAAATTTCTTCATTAATTGCTTCAGTGACCCATTGGTTGTTCAGAAGCATATTGTTTTATCTCCATATTTTTTCCCATTTTTTTTCTTGTAATTTATTTCCAGCTTCATACCATTGTCAGAGAATATGTGTGATACAATTTAAGTCTTCCTGAAGTTATTAAGACTTGTTTAGTGATTTAACATGTTATCTATAATGAAGAACATTCTATGTGCAATTGAAAATAATGTATATTTGTTGCTCTTGGATGTGATGTTCTATCTATTAAATCTATCTGGCCTAATGTGTCATTTAAGGATGATATTTCCTCATAAACTCTCTCTTTGGATGATCTGTTTTAATGTAAGTGGGTAGTTCAAATTGCATCACTGTTATTTTTTTCCTTTTATGTCCATTAGTATTTGTTTTATATATTTTGGTGTTTCTATGATGTGTTCATATACATATATTTACAAACATTTGGTCCTCTTGTTCGGTTGACCCCTTTATTGTTATGTGCCTTTCTTTGTCTATTATTACAGTCTTTAAATTCTATTTTGCTGCTGACTAGAGATACGTGATTTTTCTTTTTATTTGATTTATATGGAATATCTTTATCTATTCCTTCACTTTCAATCTGCGTTGTCCTTACTTCTGAAGTGTGTCTCTCATGGGAAACATATAGAAGGGTCTTTGTTTATTTGTTTGCTTTAATCCATTCAACCACTTAGTCCTTTGATTAAAGAGTTTAGTTCATTAATATTTAAAGTAATTACTGGTAGGTATGTACTTATTGACACTTCATTAATTATTTTCTGGATGTTTCTGTAGTTCCTCTGTGTTCCTTTTGTCTTTTTCTCTTTCCTTAAGGTTTGATGGCTTCCTTTGTTATTTTTAGGTTTCTCTTTCATTTTCTTTTGTATATTTACTGCAGACTTCTGCTTTATGGTTCCTATAAGGTTCACATACAACTTCCTATGTATATAATAGTCTGGTTTGAGTTCATAGCGACTTAAATTTGAACACATTCCCAAACTAAATATTTTTATCTTTCCCCCATATTTTTTGTTGTTGTTTGTGATGTCACATTTTACATATTTAAAAAAAAAATTTTATTTATTTATTTTAGAGATAGAGAGAACAGCAGGGGGATAAGCAGAGGGAGAAGGTCAGGCAGACTCTGTGATGAGTGCAGAGCCCAATGTAGGGCTCAATCATACAACCCTGAAACCATAACTTGAGCTGATATCAAGATTTGGATGCTCAACCAACTGAGCCACCCAGGTGCCTCTTACATACTTTTATTTTATGCATTCTTTAACTAGTTGTAATTTCAGTTAATTTTACTATTTTTAAATTTTAACTTTCATACTTGTTTTGTAAGTGATTGACCTGCTACCTTTACTATATAATTACCTTTTCCAGTGAGATCTTTAGTTTTGTATGTATTCTTGTTTGTAATTGAGTACCATTTTATTTCAGTTTAGAGAAGTCTCTTTAACTTTGTTTGTAAGGCCAGTTTAGTGGTGATAAACTACTTTAGGTTTTGCTTATCTGGAAAGTTCTTGATCTCTCCTCTAATTCAGAATGTTAACCTTGTCAGGTAGATAAATTTTGGTTGGAAGTTTTTGCTTTCAGCCCTTTGAATATATTGTGCCACTCTCTTCTGGCTTACAAAATTTCTGGAGGGAAAAAAGCCTGATATTCTTTCAGATTTCCTTTGTATGTAAGAAGTTGTTTTTCTCTCATTGCTTTTGAGACTCATTCTGTATCTTTAACTTTCACCATTTCAAATATGATATGTCTCAGTGTGCATCTTTTTGGGTTCATTTTGCTTGAGACTCTGGGCTTTCTAAACCTGTTTGTTTCATTCCCCAGATTAGGTAAGTTTTCAATCATTATTTCTTCAAATAAGAAATTGGCTCTTTCTGCCTCTCCTCTTCCAGGACTTATAATGTAAATATTATTCCCTTGTTAATTGTCATAAATGTCCCTTAAATTATCTTCTTTTTTTCTGGCTCTGTCTGAATTAGTTCTGTTGATTTGCCTTTCAGCTCATGGATTTGGTCTTCAGCTTCACCCACTATCCCGTTGAAGCTCTCTAGTGTATTTTTCAGTTTAGTTAATTTATTCTTTAGCTCTGTAACATCTGTTTGGAACTTTCTTACATATCTTATTTTTTTTAAGATTTTTTTTTTATTTATTTGACAGACAGATCACAAGTAGGCAGAGAGGCAGGCAGAGAGAGAGAGGAGGAGGAGGCAGGCTCCCTGCTGAGCAGAGAGCCCAATGCGGGACTCGATCCCAGGACCCTGAGATCATGACCTAAGCCGAAGGCAGAGGCTTTAACCACTGAGCCATCCAGGCGCCCCACATATCTTATTTTTTAATAAGAATTTCACTGTGTTCATTCATTGTTTTCCCATGTTTAGTAAGCATTTTTATAGGTATTACTTTGAAATCTTTATCAAGTAGATTGTTTATCTCCATTACATTAGTATATCTTTTTCCCCTGATATTTGGTCTTTCTTTGTGTGTGTTTTTTTCTTATTTTCCCTGTCTGTGTTTGGCTTTACATACTACACAAATCAACTAATTTTCCCAGTCTTTTTTTTTAAAGATTTTATTTATTTATTTATTTGACAGAGAGAGATCACAAGTAGACAGAAAGGCAGGCAGAGAGAGGAGGAAGCAGGCTCCCTGCTGAGCAGAGAGCACGATGCAGGACCCTGAGATCATGACCTGAGCTGAAGGCAGAGGCTTAACCCGCTGAGCCACCCAGGCACCCCTAATTTTCCCAGTCTTGAAGGAATGGTCTTATGTAGGACAAGTCACATGGTGCCCAGAAGCACAATCTCCCTGACCAATAGAGCTAGGTGCTCAAAAAGTGTCCCTTGGGTTGGTTGTGTATGCTTATCTGTGTTTGGGCTGTATCTGTGGTGAAGACATGGGTGGGACTAGTACCCAACCCATTTGTAACATGTGCTTGCACTATAGCACTGAGGTGAGTGGGGCAGGTTAAGACCCAGCCAGGCTGTGACATGCAGCTGCACTGTAGGGGTGAGTAGTGGAGGTTTATTTTTAAAGTGAATGACAAAGTAAACTCCTTTAGAGTTCTCCTAATTTATAGGGTCCACTTTCTGAGTATAGAAAATATTGTAGAAAATTGAGAAGTACAGAAAAGAATCCTATTTGACTGGAGTACCAGAAGAGACAGGCTACTAAAAGCCAAAAAGTAAGACAAGTCCAGCAAAAACAAAACTGACACTAGAGGAGTCTTATATTTAACCATCTGGAATAGCAGCTTTCACTGTCTTGTACCCCTCTCCCTTGTCTTCCTCCAAGTCTGATATAAGGATGTGATTTAGTATCTGTCATTAAAATTAAAAAATGAGATCCCTATGCTTTAGATTAATTGCCTTTTTATTGGGATGTCAAATGTTCCCTAGGCAGTTTTTTAGAATAATTATTAAAAGCTACGTGGGTACATTTTAAGGTAATTACCCAGGGCTAAAGAATCTTTTGTTTTTCCCTTGCATTTCAGTGTTTAAAATCATAAAATCTAAATCATATTTTATCATGATTTTTTTAATGTAGTTTCTAAGACCTCAGGCATCTACTGAAAGCCTTCCATAATATGTTTTTGTTCTTTTTAAAAATATTTTATTCATTTATTTAAGATAGAGAGAGAAAAAGAGAGAGAGAAAGAGAGCATGCAAGGGAGAGGGGGATGGAGAGATTCCCTGATGAGCAGGGATCCCGACATGGGGCTGGATCCCAGGACCCTAAAATCATGATCCAAACTAAAAGCAGTTGCTTAACTAACTGAGCCACCCAGGCACACCCTTTCATTCTTTAAAACAAACTGCTATAGGGGCACCTGGGTGGCTCAGTCAGTTAAACATCTGCCTTCAGCTCAGGTCATGATCCTAGTGTCCTGGGATCACACCCCATAAAGGTCTCCCTGCTCAGCAGGGAGTCTGCTTCTGTCTCTCCCTCTGCCCCTCCAGCTGCTTGTGCTTTCTCTCTTTTTATCTCAAATGAATAAAAATAAAATACTTAAAAAATAAATAAAACAAGATGCTATAGATTTTGAATAATAGTGGAGAGAAAATGTTCTCAATGTATAAGTAAAAAACAACTATGGGGGAAAATACTAAGCACCAAGAACA